CTTCGTTTGAACAGTGCACCAGGGCACTTTGTACAGTATGCAAAGGCAGAGGATACTCTTGCAGTGTAACCTGGCCCCTCCTCTTAAGAGGTTCTGCATTTAATCCGGCGAGGGACGAGGCCAGGTAACTCACGTGACCGAGCGAGGCGGGCGCTCTCGTACCTGGGACCTCGTGTCGCGTCGCGTCGTGTTGTTGCTGAAATTTTACACGTCTGTTGTGGACGCATTTAGTGCTCTTGTGCAGTGCATCTGTTGGGATAATGGGGGGAGGGAATCGCTGTGAAGGCTAGCACCCGGAGAAAACGGTTTGTAGATTACAATCCGACGTAAAGGTCCGTTATTTGACGGTCAGAAGTATTGGAAAATACTGTACGGGTCGCCTATTTTAACCTGTCACGTCCACTGAGGAACTGTCCGCACCGAATACAAAGGAAGATTTCCCACGGCCCTCTTACAAGTCTCTAGTATGTTCTTCCATCATTCATCGTGGTGAAAAGGTGTCCTTTGACCTAGTGGAGACAGTTTTGTCATCTAGGGTGTCTTGTCGTTGGGCTTTGTAATGACACATGCCTCTGAACCGCCCGTGCTGTCTTTCATTGGTTGGTAAGTTCGTAGAAGCGTGTCTAAGTGCTGTGTCAGCCCAGACGGAGGGCTGTTGGCTGTTATTTACAAAATCCCATAGATGCTTTCTTTTGTTTCTGTCTCTAAGTTTAGGCTATGGTATAGACTTGCTTTTTTGTCTGTATTTGTGTTTTGAGCTGCGGCATGTTGTAATATAACAGTTTAATAATGAATTTGCTTGCAAGAAAAACACACTGTCGCCTTTTTGTGACTACAGTTTTGCTCTGTCGCGTGACCAAGCGCGTTGTTGTTTTTTTTTAACTTTTATGATTCAGGGTCCTTTGCACCTAACATTTGAAGAAGATGGACTTCAGTCCTCAGAGCTGGCGGTCGGCCATGTTTCCAGTTATAAGAAGTCTGGCGAGCACCAGGTAAGACTGTTTAAGACTCGGCGGTGTCGCTTGAGGGTTTACAGCCGTTTTGATGTGTTGGCTGAGCTGTTGGGTTCAGTCCGGTGGCAGCCCCCGTGAGAAACTGGAGTCGCGCAGCTTGAAAGATGCTATCTCCAGTACGAAGTCGTTCCACTCTTAATTTTGGAGGCAGTCGTGCAAATGTATTTTCAGAGTTTTGCTGTAATAACGTTATGCTGTAAGACTTTATGGTGTTTGCCTTCTCTGTCGGTGGAGTTTTGTCTTAAGTGAAGTATAACAAAATGAGGATGGATTAAGAACTATTTGGCACTGCTGCTGATGAATGAATTCTGATTGTTTTCGTTTCCCGTTAACTTAGTCTGTTAGGTCCTGTAAGCCTTGGTGCTTGAAAACCCTTATGCTCCACGCATCCTATTGGAGCACGGCTCACTTTCAAGCAGATCATAGCTCTGTGTCCCGATGGGCGTACCGGATAATTTTTTTTTATGTCGGTCAGATGTAGAAACCGTGTCACTGTGGGTGATCCACTCGTAAATCAGGCTCCTGAGGACAAAAGATATTTACAGCCAGCTTTCCTCCGCATAACTGTTAGAACTGTAGTCGAGTAACCGATATTGCTTCGTTTTGTGTTCATCGAAGCAACGTTCTGGCGAGAAGTTCCTTTCAGCCATTAAAAAAAAAAATAGACCATGCAGACAGTCTCCCTTTTCATGTAATTTGAATTACAGTTGTGCTAGGATTTCATTTTCCTCTATTTTTGTTATAGCAGTGCAGCACCCCGTTTCTGGGCCATCTGATAAAAGCTATTAGTAGTCTAGATGGCACTTGTGGAAGTTAACTCTCGGCAGCGAAGTATCGCACTGCGTCCAGAGCACGTCAGAGCTGCCAGTACAGTCAGCATATCTTATCAATTGCTGTATAAGATTTCTGAACTTCTACATTGCTGGGGTGCGTCAAGCGTTTAGGTTCAGTGGGTCTGTGATGGCATCCTTCTACATGTTACCTGCCCTGTTTGGAGCTACTGCAAAGTAGGCTCCAATGTGTGCATGCTAGGCACGTTTGCAAATCTCATTTTAAAAAAAAATAGGACATTTCATATTGATTTTTTTTTTTCTTGGGCCTGGTGACTTAATTGCCTAATAGACCTCCACCGCGACCCATCCCCTTTGCTGTCAAGTGATCTAAATGCTCCACAACATGAAAACATGTGCTTAGTTCCTGCTGGAGATGGGAAGTGTAAGGGGATTATGTTATAGCCCCTTGAATTGGCACACATCAGCAAAAGGAGTAGCAGGAAGTGCTGACTGGGGCTGAAAGCACAGAGCAGATGGCCAGCTGTGCTTTAGTTTTAATGATGGAAACATCATTTTATATAATGCCTTTGAAAGCAGCAAGCTCAAAGCAGTTGAAATGATAGTGCATTTCATTTTTTTGGTGCACGGTCTTGGCAGTAGGTTGTCCCCTGCGTGTCCGTGCAGATGAAGTGCAGTAAGAGTGAATGTTTTTTCCTACAGAGCTGTCAGTTCCAGGAAGGAAACTGCTTTTGTTTTTTGTGTTATGTTGTGAACAGGGTTTATATTTACCCGGTGGTGGGTGTTGATAACTCCAGTGCAGTACTTACTTGAAAGGTGAAAGCAAAATGACGAGTCGGGCTTAATCTGCTGTATTACTTTGACTGCTCACACTGCGTTTACTTAAATCACCACCTTTAGAATTGTTCAGTAACTTTATTAATTGAACTAAAGGTAGAGCGTTTTACAGTGTGGCCCACCAGGAAGATCAGGTGCCGGAAGCTTTTCCCAGTGTGCTGAAGCGGGGTGCATCTCTGACTCTGTGTGGCCTGGAGACAGGAGGGTCTCGCTTCGGCCCGTGGCTCCGGCGCAGCTGTTGTCTTGCTCTCGACATGAAATGTTTGCTCAGGGCAGGGAGTGACCCGTGTGCTGCTTCTGCAGAGTGTGCACTGTGAGCTGCTGGGGGACAGCCTGCAGTTTGCCCTTGGCGTGGCGAAGAGGACCGCTCCACCCTCAGATCCGCAGAACTACAGTGTCAACATCTCCCCCCTCCGACTGCAGGTAAACTCGCTCGCTTGGTCTGTGCCTTCACCTTTGAATGCCGGAACTGATCGGCCAGTTAGAGAATGCTGTGCCAGGAGGGGCTTGCAAAGCGTTTTTTGTTTCAGTGTCCCCTGCTGCAGTTCATAGTAGTTGATAACTCAAGCACGTTTTGTTTAAAATTAATGTTTTTTTTCCCCCACTCCAACTCTTGCATGACTCTTTCATGTTCTGGGTTTATAGGAGAGTCCGACCCACAATCCGTGTGAACGTCTGTATTGATAACGTGCTGAAAAACTATTCTCGATCTTCCTCACAAAAAGCTTCTGGAAACAAAAAAAGTGTTGTTTTCCCTGAAACATTTCTTAGCTTTAGGCAAGTCTACCATTTGGCACGCTTTTGTGTTGTTCCTTGTATTGTTTTTCTACTTCTGCAAGAAAGAAACACGCTACCTAAGAAGACATCACAAAAGTGAATAATATGGGTTATTGAGAAGATGGAAAGCAGGCATAGTGTGTAGCTATTTATAGCTCAATTTAGCTACACACTATGCCTGCTTTCCGTCTTCTCAATAACCCATATTATTCACTTTTGTGATGTCTTCTTAGGTAGCGTGTTTCTTTTGAGTGCCTATTTGCAAACAAAATACAGTTAAATTTGTTTCAGTATGTTAAAGGACATTTCCTTGAAGGCACCGAGGAACATGTCAATCAGGTTATTGTATAAGGACGTGTGGAGGGGTCATTCTGAGCCCTTTCAAGCTCTATGCTGGGTTTTTCTGTTGTGCGAGGCCGCCTGTCAGATAATATTACTGCCTCTTCAACATCTCGATCTGCGTACTTAAGGAACGTCGCATTCAAACCCGTGTCAACCGATCGAGTTTACAGTTCCAGCAGAAGAGTGGTGAAGACGTGCTGCCTTCCAGCCTGTCGGTTCAATTTATGAACCACAAAAACTAATTGGGGGGGGTTTGCATGTCAGTGAGGAAGCCTTTTAAACAGGAAAACATGAATACTTGGGATTTGCTTACAAGGTCCCCACACAATACCAGAAAGTCCTTCTGGGTACTAAAATTCAGTGAAAGGGTCAGTGTGGTTTGTGTAGTCTGTCCAACACGATCATTTTCTATTTTGTTTCTGTCCGGATTAGATCCTGATTTAAATAAAATTGTCAGTCTAACCACTGGCCATCTGATTGCTGGAAAGCAGCCTTTTGTGTGCAGAGACTGCAGCCCGGTGAAGAGCCGAGGTACACCGTGCATGGACAGCAACAGCCTATGTTTTCCGAAAACCGCCGAAGTCCAGAGCGCATAGAACAGTTCTTCGTGACCCACTACAGCAGGTGCGTCCAGCCCTGCTCTGGGAGAGTCACAGTCCAGCAGCGTCCTGTGGGTCACCCGACGGTCAAGGGTTTCTGAAACATTAGCCACTCGTTCTTCCTGGTCACTCCAGCCGGTGACTTGCACAAGATTTTTAGATTTTCATTTGAAGTGCAAAATGCCGCCAACCTTAAAATTTCAGTGACTCGGAGCCACTGACCCGCTGGAATTAATTAGTTTACTTACTTGATCAAAACTCTCTCGTTGCAACCCTTTTGAGGCCTATACAGGCAGACTGGCAGAGTAAAGAGATGAGCTTTACAGTATGTAGACACGATAAGCCAGAACATCTCCACACTTTTACCGAAGGCAGAGGTGATTTATTGAGTGTGACATGCTTCCATACTCCGTTTGTAGCTGCCAGAGAAATTGGATTAAATGCTCGGGTCCCTCGTGGAGGAAACGGCCCGGCGCATTATTTAAATCGCACTCAGCCGTGCAGAAATGCTGTCGAGCTCTGGGAGGAACAAATTCCTGTTTCTGACGACAGCCTGGCGAGAAGGCTGTTGCTGCACAGAAGACCAGGAGACGACGAGAGCAGTCGATGAAGTGGCGCAGTACAGCTGGGCGGGGCAGTGACGACAAGTGCACCTGTCCCTCTGGGAAGGCTTTGGAAAGATTGAAATGTTTACCAGAAGAACTTTAGAACATTTTTTAAACATTTTCATAGGCGAGTGTGTCCCGGTACACCTTTGATTTGAACATCTGTCCGTTCACAAAAACGCTATACTTGCATGAAGATTGCTCTTGGCGAACGCGCCACTCTGAGGATTGAGTCAGAAGGCAGCGCTCAGTGGGGGGGAAGACCAGCAACGCAAGGGACTCCCGCACGTTATGTTGCAGAGGTGACGCGCAGGCGAGGGTTGGCAGTGCGCAGGATAGGCGAGCGCAGCCGGGGGGCGCTCTGACGCAGGTCTCGAGTGGGTGTTCCACGCCGACCGGCGTGTGAGCTCGATCCAGTCCTTCTTTCCTGGCGGGTTTGCAGCGCTCCTCTTGGTGCGAGGAAGTAGGCACCTCTGATTCTGTTGCTTCTGTGTAGTGTGAACTCGCAGCAGCCTGAGATCACAGGGTTGCCTTTCCCGGGTTTAGCTGGAGTCTCTCTTTCTGGATGGCAAGATTGCAGAGGCCTGCAGGATAAAGACCCGTCCGTCCGCGCGCGCATGTATCTGGTCAAGTTATTTCGGGGTGTGATGCATCAGATCTGGTGGTTAAGTCTGGTTTAAAGCAGTAAATGCTTTTTGTGTGCGTGTTCTTTCAGAAGAGCCTGGCTTCATTCCTCAAGCAGTTGTATGGTGTGTGAGTGTGTGCAGGAGTGCATTCCTGTGGGTGTGTTTGTTTTAAAAGCTCTTTGCCAATGTAACCGCCTGGCCGCTAGGCCGGACTAGATCCTGCTGAACTCCATGGGAAAAGACTCCAGTGTCACTGGTTAAGACTTCTGGAATGTCCTGAAGTAATTGCATGACGTTCTTCCCCTAACATCCACGGGGTTACTCTGAAATCACTCTTTTGTGCAGTTTCTCGGTCCCAGGAGAATGCGTTCTACTAATTGTTGGGTGTGTAATAAGAGACAGAAGCGTTAATGTTCCGTTTTTTCAGCTAGCCATATGATTTTAATTAAATCAAGATTACTTTCGTGCAAAAAAAAAAGCGCATCAACATGAGCAAAAATGAGATTTGAGATTGCTGAGGTTATTCCACATTTTCGCGGCAGTGTTAATGCCCTTGGGCATGTTGTCAGGAGTTAAGTGGTAGATTTTCACATTACAGTGTTTAAAGATTTTTTAATACCCGTGTTTGGCCAAGTCCAGTTAGTGCCAAAGTGCAGTGCGAAATATGTATAAAAAACTATTTTCATTCTATGTACAGTATATCTTTTTTTAATTACTTTTAAAGGTATGTTTAGATATGTTATATTTCTTCTGAATGTAAATAAGAATTCTTTTAAAAAATAATGTAAGAAACTGAACATAGTGCACGGATCTCTGTCTGGAAGTCGGAATTCTCTTCCTGAAATTCCTTCACCACCCATCCTGGGCTTTGCTGGGATAATCATGGGAGCAGGACGGGCTCTGGTGGAGTGTGTGTGTGTGATCTTTGTGTGTGTTTGTGCCCCACCAGCTGGAGCTGCAGGTGAGGGAGGTTGCCGGGAGTCTGCGAGTCACCTGGGCGCTGTCACACCTGGAGGACTGGGACCTGCAGGTCACTCCCAGCAGCAGACAGGTCTGTCCGTAAGTCACAGAGCGGGTCACTTGCTGGACAGAAACGGAGCTTGGCCAGGGGCCTTTTCAGAAGCTAAATGAATACCCAGGCCTTTTATACAGCTACAGACTAGATACAATAAAACTCTATTGTCCCCTGGGGGAGAGTTTTTATGGACACGAAATGCATCTAAATACAGTACATCACAAAACATTACCCATCACATCTATTGCATGGGCATTTGTCATAATAGTCATGACATTGCACGTGCTGTACATAGTTTATTACAGTGTAGTCTGTTTCTGCTGGCACAGTTGCATTTATCCTTGCCAAATATTTGCTGTTGTCAGTTCTCCTTTTTGCTCTTAATGTGGTTTATATGCACACACAGCTCAGCTGAAGATTGCAGCAGCAACTGCACTAGTTGGTCCCTCTCCGAACAGATATTAAGTGTAGTTTTTGATTTATTAATGCACACTGTCAGAGTATGTATAACTGAGCAGTAAGTGGACGTTGGATTGCTGCTAAAGTAATGATCATCGGCATTTCATACAATAACTGCTTCCATCTGAGCGAGTGATTACCACTCACAACATTCCCAGCAGTCCTTTGCTCGAAAAAAGAGCCGACGTTTCGCTCGGACCGTCCTGGTGGTCCCACAGATCGCCGGCACAACACCAGTAAACCAAGGTGTTTGCTGGATTTGTAGTAAAAAAGTAAATGGCTGCATTTGATGAACTCTTTCTCAGCTGCTGGGATGTAATGTTTAACAAGCAACATGCAGTGTCTGTATTTGAGCCAGGCAAACCCACTGTGTGTGTGTGTGTGTAATGGTGGGCCGAGTTCAGTTGTCGAAGCATGGAGGAGAGCCGCTTGCTTCAGTAACAAAATGTGACACTTCTGACTCATTCAATTATTGAGGGAGGATGTGACTTTACTGCACGTAAAGCTATTCAAATAATATTTTTTTAATTTCTTTAATCAAGTTGCTCTATTTAATCTGTAGCTCACCGTGTCATTTTTTTGTTCCTATTTCACTGGGGATATGAATACATGTAGAGGGACTGTAATAGTTAAATATTTGTAATAGTTAAATATTTGATTTGGAACCTGTTTCTGGTCCAAACTACTGGAGTCATGTGTGTTGTGGTGTTTTATAATAAACAGGTAATCTCAATTTCCTGTCTTCCTAGCATTGCCAGGATAATGTAATAGACCTATGGGATGAAAGTAACTCCTAAACATTACTTGAGTTTTGTTGAATTGTGTCCCTCTTCCATCACAGTTATTTCCTCAGCGTTACTTGACTTGTTTACTTATTCGATTATTTGTTTTAATTATTTGAATTACTTGTTTGGTACTGACGCAGAAAATCCTGGAGGCCTGTAATACCCAAGGAGCATGTGACCTTTTACGAGGCTTAAGGAAGCGCTTGTGGTTGAGGATTTGCAAAGTTTAATTGCATGCAAAGCAGAAGGGTGGATTCAGTCATATTGAGACCAGCTCAACCAGAGTTAGAACCTGTCTGTGCCTGGCTCTCTTACATAGGTGGCTGAGGCGAATGATGTGAGTGTGGCGGCCCTCAGGAGCAGAGTCAGGGAGATCCTGTGTGCTGCCCGCCCCCTCGTGCTCGTGAGCAGCAGGCCTGCTCAGGGCAAAGTTGCACAGGTGAGTGTCTTCGCCTCCGTGTACTCATGACAATCAGGCCTGCTCAGGCCAGAGCGGCGCCGGTACTGCCTCCAGATGGGAAATGGGCATCCCCGATGTATCTGGTTGAGCTGTGCTGATTGTACATATTACAACATAAGCTTGTGCACTCCTACAATGTGCCCGGCTTTGCTTATTGGTGGTAGTAGTAGGATCTTATCAGTAATCGAGCATCACAGCAAATAAGTTTGAATAGTAAGAGCTGTGCCAGTGCTCTAGTCAATGTTGAACTTTGTGTATTTTAGGATGGCAGTGATCTGGAAAATGCTCAGATGTTCTCAGTTCAGCAGTCTAAAATTTAGATAGTCTGCAGTACAAATTTAAAAGAAACTGGCAGTGAGTGATGGGCGCACTCTGCGGTGAGTGAGACTGTCTGGCTTAGTGTTGGCTCTCCGTGTTCCCAGGAAGTGCAGAACAAGGGGGCTGTGACTCAGGTGACCTCTCCCCCGAAGCCTCCACGCGCTCATGACTGGAAACTGCTGGTGAAAAACATCAAAGCCACATGTGAAATGGAGAACAGTGCTGCAGGTCAGTGCTGACCCAGACTTTTACACATGAGCCCATGCTTTTACAGTTTGCACTGTGTTGTTTGGTTATTGTGGAGGCAAGCACGGCTGAGCACCATCCAACAAGGTACACCACAGTGAAATGAAACAGTAGTTTTAATTGCATCAGTGGACTGAAATAATGTTCCTTGGGGGTATGGTTCAAAAAATGGTCTCTGGGTCTGGGTTTTTGTCATATTTGAGTTAGCCATTCGTTTAAATTTAATTTTAGGATTTCATTTAAATTTAGGATTTTTTGTTTTTATGCATGTGCAAAATGCATATAACAGATCTGTGCTAAAAGAGCTAAGTGGACGTTGTGGCAAATAGGAATGAATGAATTCTTCTTCTGTGTAAGATGTCATTATTTCAGTTCCGTTTCACCTTTTAAATATTACCTCACGCTGCATTATTGTGTTTTGGTCTGTTTAAAATGAACCTCAGTTTCAACAAAATCAGGATGTCATTTATGATTTGTTTAAAAACTAGAACCGTTAAAATGATCATGGATGCAGTAGGTTTCAAAGCCTCCTGTACCTTAAGTGTTTTTCATCACTTCAACTTGGAAGTGAAGCATAGAGCCGCCGGGTATACCTTCCTTTTGCTGAAGCTCTTCAGTCTTTGGTGCAATCGCTGTATTTTTTCAAAGTACCGTTAGTACTCCTGTAGATTGTCTGTTTTTCAGGAGCTTCCTAGAATAGGTAATTGTGAATCACTTTTATGTTGTTCAATAGTTTGGTGACGCACTAATTGCTTTTATGCGTTTATGTAAAGTTCATATTTAATGAGCGTCTTATTATTTCCAGTGATCTGAAGCTGAGAGTGCCCTTTTCATACCGTTTTATTCAAACTATTTTAGGGTTTTTTAACACTTGACTGTACCACTTCCATTGGTGTGTGTATAAAAAGGTACTGCTGGTACATTGTTGGAAAAACAATGTTTTGCTGAGTTACATGAAAAATAAACAATATGATGTTCAAATGTATTGTCCCACCATAGTCAGGATTTCCTGGTTCTCTTCATTGTTATATATCACTCAAAGAGTTTTCCACATCGGCAAGCAGAAGACTTGACAAGCTACAATCTGTATGTCCCTCCACACAAGCCTTGTTTTTATTGTTCTCGGATTCAATATATTAATCTAGATTACGTCTTTTCTTTTCTGCCAAACGTTTAATCTGTGTAATTTGTAAAAAAAAAACAAATTACTGCCTTCATGTGGAGACAAAAATGTGATTTTGATATAAACATTATGAAAGATAGGACTCCATTCTGCACAATGTTATATTGTGTTATTGATTGTTTTTTTTTCTTTTTGCAGGCAGCATTAATCCCTACTTTGTGCTGCAGTTGGATGATCCTCCACAGAAACTATCAAGCTCCGTCTTAAAAAGCACTTCCAGTCCCTCATGGGAGCAGCCCTTCATCTTGTAAGTGTGGGACTGTCTATCTTGCCGGAGCTGTGTCGCAGTCCTGCTCGTAGCCCTCTCCTGTCTCTTGCCACTGCACAACGGCCCTGGGTCTCCCTGCTGGAGAAGTCCGGCCTTCCCATGATGTGTGTGATGTCACAGCACGTACATTCGCGATTCCAGGAGCAGGCAGCAATGAAACCTGTAGCAAGTTAACACAAATTCCTCTGCCTCTTATTTCTGGCATGCTTGCTCTTGTCGATTCAGTGTTAGTGTTTCCGTTCTCTGTCGGAACGCTTACTAATTGAGTGAGCTCTCAAGTCTGAGAGACGCATAAACCTCTGTTTTTATTGTTATGCTCGTGAAATTAGCAAATGGGTTGAGAGGTCTGTGTATCTTATCCTCGCAGTGAACTCAGCGGAAGATCAAGAGAACTAAAGATGCAGCTCTTGGACGATGGGAAGCCCCAGGAGAGTAAGTACAGTGCCTTCACTGCTTCCATTCCTGAGCTACTTTCTGAATTTCAGGTGAAGACCTCGTCTAAAATGGAAGCTCTGAAATTGTTGACCGCTTTTCAATTCCCTGTTACTCTTTGTGTGTTGCAGCCTCCTCGCTGGGGCAGGTTTCAGTGCCTTTCTATCTTTTTGAGAAGCATCCTAACGGACAGCATACGTTTGCACTTAAGACTCAAGACCGAGTTACCGGGTCACTTTCTGTAGAGGTAAGAAACATGATTATATATTTGTAGACAACGTGGGTAAGCAATAAAAAAGCCCAATAGAATGTCAAGATACGTAGTTAGTAGTTCTACTCAAATAAGCCAACTAGAGCCGTAAAATGATTAGTCCATAATAGATCACTATCCAAGCGATCAGTTTGAACAATGTGCATACTGTTAACGTTTATTGCGCGAAAGAATCTTTTTTCTATTTCCTGAGAGCCATAATGAACAGCAACTACAAAACAAACACAAAACAAAAACACTTTGAAAATGAGAGCACAAGCTTTCGCCGTGATCATAAACAAAGCACTGCTGTCTCACGGCGTCCTTGACCACGATGCCTGTCGCCCGCGCAGAAACAAACAACTGTTCCCTGGCGCTGAATTCAGATGTTCTCGGTTCTCGGCCAAAGTCGGTCACTTATGAACGTCCAAATTCACACTAGCGAAATTTCATTCTTATAGCGAAGGTACAAATTCTTGAAATGTTCGAATTATTGAAAATTTGTATGCCGCACGTTCTTATACCAGGGCGTGAGTGTATTTTTGTTCCCCCCTCCCTCCCCCTCCTAAAGTCAGATTTGATTCGCATTAGGATGCTGGCGAGACTGGGTTCCTTTTTCTCCTCGGTCTCGGCCTTTTTGCATTTACAAGATACATTTTGTAAGTTGGGGAAAACATGCTTTGCCCTACTAGAGGTGACAAGGCAGTTAAAAGATTTGTTGTGAGGTTCCTTCTTATGGGCCAGTCGCCGATTCTCTTCATCCGCTTGAGACTCTTCATCTTGCGTTTCACTTCAGCAACCACAGAACTGTGTCCAGCAAAAAAACAGATGTCTTGGAAGCCCTACATGTCTTTTTCTCATCTCTGATCTCTAGTTCACTTACCTGGAGCCCAATGAAGTCCGAACATGGCAGGCTCCCACCCCAGCCCCTACTAAGAAAGTAGAAATGGACCGCACTGTCATGCCCTGCGGAACGGTGGTCACCACCATCACCGCAGTGAAGAGCAAACCGGGGAGGTCACCTTCTTCTGTGCTCAACTCAGGTACAGGGCAGATGGGCGTGACCACGTTTTCCATACAGCCTTAATAGCTTCACCGGTTCAGTTCCAGAATATCGCAGTCACCCAGTAGAACCACAATTCATGCACCAACAGGGCGGTAAAATGTTTCTTTCCTGCAAGGTCATCATGGGCCGTAAGAGGTCTGGACCAGGTCGTGCTCGGTAAACAGTTCTTTTTACGGACCGCTGGACAGCTGAAGGGTCGGGCTGTTTGCTCCCAGCTGCTTGATAAGACGATCTGATCGCACAGGACCTGAGTGTTTGGTATGATGGGAGTTGAAAGACGTTTTGTGCAGTAAAGACTTTAGACTCCTGTGTTGCAGTCAGGCTCAGTTTGTTTGCAAGCAGGTCCATATTCAGATTAACAGTGAACAGGGTGATGCAAGGTGTCCCTTTGCCTGCGTGTTTTTTTAGAATCGCCCACGAAGGGACCGTCCAAAGTCAGACTGTCCGAGAGAAGGGTCTCAGAGCAGCCCTCGCTGTCCGGAGCTACGGTCAGCAAAGCTTTGTCCTCCTCGGATACAGGTGGGTTGTTATTTGGGGAGCGGGGTTGTCTTCGTTTTTGAGTAGGCCTTTTTTAAGATGAGAAGACCTATAGGGGGTTATCTTTTTTTAAGGAATGGCAGCCGGAAGCCCCAGCAGGGTGGCATTGTGTTTTATTAAATAGTAGATCAATCAAAGAATAATCAATGATTTAATCCAGCTCGCAACATTTTCCAGTGGTCATGGCCTATCCAGGGAAGGTGTATTTGCATGCAGATTTTCTTTCTCATTAAACTGGTATGGTACGGAATGTAAAGTATTTTGCTTTAAGCAAGCTGAAGTAACATGTACCGTACAAAACTAATTCTGCACTGCTTTGGACATGCATGCGAGACGGGGCTCAGTACAGTGAGCATTGCTACAGATGTGACGTCGTCCCCTTGAAACCCAGCGGTGGACAGTTTTGCGTGGCAAAAGATCCATTGTTTTGCCACTGTCTAGGGAGCAGCGCGGCGATTGTGATCAAATCGCAGCAGGAGCAGAGCAGAGCTCCGCATGTTTTTGAAAATCTCTCGGCCCCCATTGTCCCCAGTCTGCCAAATAATTGGTTTATTGTGCTATAAACCTAGCGCAGCAAGACACAAGCTCACCATCCGGACATTGTTTTTTCCCCCAAAGGAATGTTTTTTTCTTGATTTAGCAGTCCTCGTAAAGACCTTGTCCTCCTCCAGATGATGCTCTGCTGCTGCTGACATGAATAGCTTCAGTCTTTACTTGCTATAGAGAAGGAGCCAAAACTGCACAAAGCCGCCTCTAGCAGAGATACCGCTTTCCCGCGCTGCGGACAACAAGCACTTTCACTTCAGGGCCTTGATCGTGTTTCATGTCTCAAACACTTTCAAGAGAGAGTTAGTCGCCTGTGACGCTGATGACTTTTCCAACCTGAGTTAGACCCCCCTGCCGTAGCGCTGCAGGCGCAGTAAGCGTTGCGATAGGCTTGTTCGCGGCCGCCGGCGCCCTCCGAAGAGGGAGAGCGAGGGTGGCCGACCTGTGACGCCCCGGTGCTTGCAGAGCTCCTGGTGCTGAACGGCACCGACCCGGTGGCAGAGGCCGCCATCCGCCAGCTGCACGACTCGGCCAAGCAGAAACTGAAGTCCCCGGTCAAGAAGAGCACGATCATCATCTCCGGGGTGGCGAAGGTATGGTGTGGCGCGGTGCTTTTCCGTCACTGAGCAGGTGTCACTGCCTTGCCTCTTATTTACGTCCGCTCGCCGCGCGGATGCAGTCATAATGGTGGAGAAGCCATTTCTCGGTTTTGTGCTCTGCCCCCAATAACGTTCAAAGCTATATTTTTCCCCCTTTCGTCTCGTACTTTTGTATGTGCTATTCAAGAAGTCTTTGTTACGTTCATCACTCTGAGCTTCCAAGCTGTTAATAATAATAATAAATAGCTCCTTACACTTTTTGTGGACACTCCACTTAATGCGCGTTATAGGTAATGGGGAATCCCACTGCCACCACCAATGTGCAGCCCCACCTGGATGATGTGACGGCAGTCAAAGTGCCCTAGTACACTCCCCACACACCAGCTCTTGGAGGAGAACAGAGTGATGCAGCCAGTTCATCGATGGGGGATTATTAGGAGGCCATGATTAGTAAAAGGCAGGGGGAAATTTGGCCAGGGTAACACTCTTACACTTTTCGAGAAACGCCCTGGGATTTTTAATGTCTACAGAAAGTCAGGACCTTTGTTTTAACATCTCATCCGAAACATGGCGACTTTTCAAGTATAGTGTCCCTGTTACTATACTGGGGCATTAGGACCCACACAGACTGCAGGGTGGGCGCCCCCTCCTGGCCCCACTACAACTGTTCTGTTTCAGTCGTGTGACAGAAACGCAGCCCGCGGGGGTCCGGACTTTACTAGGCGTTTTTAATGTTCGTGCTGGCGGCTGGTGTTTTAATGGCGGCGCGTGACGGAAATCGCTTCTCACCCGCTCGTCCGCACAGGCCCCCCTGTCTCCGGACGACGAGCTGGCGCTCATGGCCGGGTACGCGGCCGCCATGGACGCCTCCATGACCCCGGGCCCCCGGGCCGAGGCGCCGCCGGCCCCCGTGCCGGCGCCTGCAGGGGGCGCCGTGGAGAAGGCGCAGCCAGACCCCCAGGAGGGCCCCAGCGGGACGCCGCTCCTGAGAGACTGGGAGGGCGAGCTGGCAGAGGACCCCGACGAGGAGAAGATGTCCAAGATATCGGTCTGCGTGTCTGAGCCTGGCGGCACGAAGAAGGGGAAAGGTAAGGGCTGTGGCACGAGATTTCAGCTGAAATCCACCATAATCAGCAGTTTGCTCGCTCTAAGGCTCCAGTAAATAAGACATTTCGGCTATCCAGCAGCTTGAAGAGCAATTGTGATTAATGTTTTGTAATGGCCTTGTGCTTTCAGGGCTCTTTAGTCAGCGAGGCAGTAACACCTTAGATGAATAAGGGGCCACCTCGGCCCATCTCATTTTTGACCGCGACTGGAGAAGTTTCTGCTTCTGTACTGGGGAGATACCTCGCTGGGTGTATCTTTGTTTTCACTGGCTCTTTCATCCTGTCATGCCTGCCACTCTTCCTCCTGACCCCTTCTTACCTTTTTCCCTTTCATTCTTCTCTTTCTGCCATCTTGAGAGGAAACCACTGCTAGCCCGAATTAATTGCCCGGACAGTAAGTGATCAATGAAGCGATACACTGTGTGGGTGGGGGCGCATGGGTAACTGGGAAATCTACAATATCAGACGTACGTGGCATAATGATATCTTTCTGAAGAAGAAATGTAATGCAGACAAAATAATCATGTGTTTATGGAAGAAACTGGTGTTTCTGTGAATGAATCTACAGTTATTGATGGTTTTCATCTTCAGTGATATGAATGGATTACGGATTAGTTCATAACGAGGCCCATAATCCCTCTGTTCATCGAAGCAAGCTGTCAGAACAGAACTGACAGGCGCTGCTTAGCGGCATGACTCGAATCCTGGAAACTACACGTTCTGTCCCAGAAGTATTCCTTATTTTACCTCCTAAAACATTGATGGGACCCAGCAGTGATTGTACAGAAAGTTTCAGATTTAAGAAGTCCAGATCATAGCTTTGATTAACTTTGATATTACCTCAGAGTTTGTCGTCATTCTTGTAAAATGGGTTCTGTAGTCTGACTTCAATCACGGATGTCTTCTTCCGTGAACTAGATTGTTTAGCATACGTGGAAAATTGACAGTATATGGAGGCAGTCCTTTAAACCTTTTTATACAGTAAAACTCTGATTCTATTTTAGGCCCTTGCTCCCATTTTGTGGCAACATTTTGACGTCCCTGGCTTTAAATGCTGTTTTCCATTGAATCATGTGACACTATAACAGGACGCCCACCTAATGTATGATCACAATGCATAGATATCCCCAAGTCTGTACGTGCAAGGGCAGCAGTACTCTTGCTGGTATGTGCACCAGTGAGGTTTTAAGTCATGCTTAGTGGAATTATTTCCATCTGTCGGATGCGCTCGCCGACAGTGGTGTGATGTGTGGCGAGCAAGAGTTGACTATCCCGGACGAGAGAAAAATCGTTCACTGATGTGCGTGGCGTTCAAAAGCACTGCTTTGGTTCACCAGTTTGTTCTAAGACCTCACTCTTCTTCCTCTTCCTCCTCCTCCTCCCTGGCGGCCCCGCAGGTGGGTTCCTGCACAAAAGCGCCAAGCTGTTTTTCCGGCGCCGGCAGCAGCGGAAGGCGCCGGGGATGAGCCAGTCGCACAACGACCTGGTGTACCTGGAGCACCCCGTGGCCATGGACAAGGAGCGGGGCACCCTGGGCCGCCTGCTCAACAAGAAGCTGCTCCCGAAGGCCCGGAGCAAGAGCCGGGCCAACGGCGCCGCCGTGGACCCGCAGGCGTGAGGGCCGGGCCCCTGGGGGCCTCCCGGGGGCCCTGCTGACTGGTGCGCCCTTTCCCCTTCCCCTCTCCCGCGGCCAGGGAGGGGAGACCGTTTTAAAATAAGCCTCTCACGGAGCGACGGCAGATGCAAATCTAAAAATGGACTTTGGATAGATGCAATATATATATGTAGTATTTCACTAACTATGGCAACAAAAAATGTTTCGCGACAATTTCCTCCTCCTCCTCCTCCTCTTCCCCTCTTGTAAGTCAGCGGCCTTCTTGTCTCGCTTCACGGAGTTAATGTTCTTTTTTTTTTTTTTTCCTGTCTTCCTCCGTCACCGCTGCTCAGAATCTGCCCTGCCTCTGGCCGTGCCTGAACCCTCGGGGTTGCTGCTTCGCAACGCTCCCCGACGCGGGATGCGGTTCGCACCGCAGCGCGTGCCCTCCGGGTGCCGTCGTCTTTAAGTACGACTCCTGGTGAGCAGGGTTTTCGCGGCCCTGGTCCCGAGGGCTCGCCCGCCTGCTGGTTTCTGTACCGACCGAGTTTCTCTTCTCCTCGTGGAAGCCAAATTCGTTCCACTGGCAAGCTGCTTGACCGGAGAGGTTTGAGATTCCTTGTCACTCATGACGCAATAGTTTAAAGGCCACGTTCTGCAGTGACAGGAACTGCAAGCGTGCCCTAATTGAGCTCATACAAGGGTTAAGGCTTTGACTAAGTAACTGAGCGCTCGGCTGGAATGAGCTCCCGCAGGTACAGTACCAGGTGTGGGTTGTTGCACTGCGGGCCATGCGGAATATACTCGAGCCCCTAGCAGGTTCCACAGCACACAAGGGGTGTAAATGGGGAAACTGGTGAGAAGGGAAGTGGTGGTGGGTGTACCCTCTGTGTAGCTGGTTCAGTACAGGGATTGCAAGCTGCTATTAAGCTGCACAAAGGTATCTTGCTGCATCAAATTTGCCCGCACTTTGTGCCTTTTCATTCTGTTTATTAGATCCCACTGGCACACGTTGATATTTTCATGACCTCTACCAAAAAAAACACACCTCTGCACCCCTTTTAACTCTCCAGGTTTTATGTATTTGCATACCCCCGCCCCCCAGGTAGAGGCAGCAGGAATGCGCGCTCAATGTTTCGACTCAGGATGAACTTCTAATAAAGCATTAAGTGCTCAAAATGGCTTTGTGGTGATCACGGTCATTTTCTATATACCCTGCTCCTAAAGCTGGTGATTATTTCTTCTGTCACTGCCGCTGCTCTAATGCTCGGTGTCCTCGAATTGTCATTCCTTTGTGGATTTTGTGAATTTATGTGCAAGGCCTAGGTTTTCACTCGCATGGTAATGGTCAAGGGCCCGTCGTGGAGTCCCTCTCTTTAAAATAATAGTCTCTATATTGGTAAAGGATGCTATAAGGTTGCTAATGCTGATAAAAGAATGTAAAATAATGATAGGTGACTCTAAATTCTGCTTTTCTGTTTCTGCTACAAGACCCAAATGTATGTTCAGTTCTGATTCAGAAAAGACCCTGTTTACCAATTTGATTTATTATCAGGTATTAAATATGTATTATGAGACTGTAAGATCATAATGTCTTGAAATTTACCATTGGAAGACTGCAGATGTAACAAAAAATGTTGATTTTCCTGTGATGTTGATTTTAAGTGGGAGCAAGCAGGTGGTGAGGGGACGTTTCGGGACTGGGAAGTGGGGCGTTTCGGGACTGGGAAGTGATTTTCTCCGGTTACAGCTCTCTACACGTTGGCTGTTTTCTCATAAGCGAGTCGGACAGTTCGGGATCCTAGCTATCCGGCCGTCAGGGCAGGGCTGTGCCGTTTTTTTTTTTTAAATCTGCGGTTTCTTGAAAAAGCGTATGTTTTAGGGCTCATCCGCTGGGATCTATGAAGCTGGCTTAGGGAAGCAAACGCTTGCGGGCGGTGCTAATCGTTACCATCTTCGTCCGCAAGTCGGACAACGGAGGGCTGGCATCAACCCCCCGTCCTCCAGCTCCAGGTTGGCACAGGACCCGATGGCCGGCCCTTTCGTTTGCTAGAGGCTTCCCACTTCGACCCAGTGGGTTTAAAAGCCTTAGAAAGGGTTTGGGGAAGTTTCAGTTTGATCTGCGGGTTCGGCTCACAGTAGTACCTTGTAAATGAGGCGGTCAGAGGATGTGAATATTCAATCTTAAGGTTGTCTTCAAGGTGAGACTTGGTGTGATTGATCATATGACCTAAGACATACCTTTGGATCAGATGGGATGCTGGAAGCCCGTTGCAAGAGAGAGAGAGAGAGAGGCCTTGTTAGCACTTGGCCTCAAAGTCGTACTTTCAGTGGCTCTCTGTCTCATTGAAGCAAGAAGCGACTATTTCATCTGCGCCAAAATCTAAAATATTTAAGAAATCAACTTTAAGGGTTAAACAGAAGGGGAGAGAAGTGTTATTTGTTGCCATGCCAGTGATATGCATTTCTTTGTATCCATTCCTGAATTTCAAAAATTTCTCTTTCTCGTCTCGGTGTAACCAGCACTACAGTAATTTGAAGGGGTTTGTGTATTTGGGGCAAAGAAGCGTTCGAAAATAACTTTGAGAGATGTAGTGGAGTTGTTGGCGATATGATTTTTTCTGCCTTTGTGAATTAATTTCTGTTCAGGATTTTTTATACTCGTATTCTGTTGTGTCTGCTGTGCAGTTTGTTTTCATGATAAATAACGAAGCTTTAACCAAATGGAGAGCCTAACTGGGAATTGTACAGCGTGGGTAACCAGTAAAAACATCATGATGCCATTTTTATTGTTTTTGCTACCAGCTGGATTATTTTCTTAGCAGCTAAGCATTTT